AGACGAGGACCTTTGCTTTTTTGATGGAGGAGAGGCTTCCCTTCACATGGTCATTTGCAATAAAATTAAAGTCATCATTTTAAAGTTTCCCATGCATGCATTTATCTCTGCAAAAATAGGATCGAAAAACACAACAACAAGGGATGCAAAAAGAAGTTTCTTCCTCCTTTTAACCTTTATAGGTTAAGGAGGAGGAAGGAGGGGCAGAAAAGGAGAAAATGACAGAGAGAGAAAGGAGAGGAGCATGGGATGGAGTGGAGGAGAGGATGCTGCAAGAAATGCAGGCTGGAGTTTTAAAGCCCAACTTGCTAGCTACAAACTGAATCAAAAAATATTTAGAAATATTTAGCTTAAGCATTGTATTTTGACAAAATATCCCTAAATGGATTGTATTTCCTGACTGTGTAGGCTTGTAGAGCTAGGCCACAACCACCTAGCTAAGACAATTTTAACTTATTGCCACTTTATTTATTTTACTTATTAATTACTTTACATTTTATAGTTTTGGGCAAGCTAACTAGTGCGAGCTAGTGGAGCTAGACCAAAACTAGCTAATTTAGACTCAGGATGCGCTGACCTTCAGAAAAGCAATTATATTATGGGTCTTAATATAAGTTTAAATGGTAAATCCATGGGTGAGTACACTGCTGTTCTGCATGGGCATTTCACTTCTGACCACACCCAAATCAAAGATGTCACCCCAGGTGTATATCTTCTGCTGTCATCCCCCCCACACACTGTGAAATCAATGATTTTGGGTCGGGCTAGACAATGCATGGCACATGCATGGAAATTTGACCCTCAGAATAATTTCTGCCATGTTGATTTATCACCCACCAATCAAATCTGGCTTCTTGAAATACTAGCATCTAGGCTTTTAAAACTCCAATCAGCATTAAAGCAAAGTGTGGAGTGTGACAGCGGGCAGAGCCACTACTCTGCATCTTGTCCTGATATGTTTGGTAATCGTTTGGGTTTCAAGTTAAATTGTACTATTGGTTAGTTCAGCTGTCAATCTTCTCACAGGGGCCTGGCTTAGCTCAGCCTGCACAGCATACTTTCTCTCTTATACACAAATAATTTATACAGACAAACACATACATTCTTACACACACTTATTTGCACACATAACCAAACCCAGAGTCCAATAAAAAGAGCTTATGCCATTATTGCTGTGTCCCCACTACACTGCAGTGGAATAATCAAGGTTTTTAGTTGTTTTTAGAACTGCCAACCCCTGCTTACTTTCAGGTCGTCAAATACTGATGCTTTGCCTTTTTAGTGTCTGTATGAGACCTTCAGAAACTACTTGCTAAGGTACTAGGAAGACACGTTACTTATTTCACGTGATGTCACGTGATGTCACGACATGTGACCTGGGAATGAGGCCGGGCTGCAACTGCGCAGAACTACTTCATCTCCTATTGCCCTACTCTATTATGTCTTATTCAGGTTAGCTTCTGAAGCAATATTGCTACAGCAACATGCCTTAGGAAATCTATGGAGGGAGAGAGGTGCCCTAGTGTGAAGAATGAAAAATATTTTTCAACCCTTCAATGTCAACAAACCATTTTGTAATTTTTGTACTTGTGTGCTTTTTGTTGCAATACACATAATATGCATTACATTTGGCAACAAACCAAAATGTTTGACAATGACTGCTGTCAGCTAAGCCTATATTGCAAACTGCTGCCGTTATGGGAATGAGAATTATGGGAATTGTAGGATTCGGCCTTTTTGGAGCTTGACACATGCTAGTCAGAATTTCTGCTACTGAAATAAATTGCCTACCTAAGCTTTAGCATTGTTGGCTCAGTCACATACCATTTTGTAAGTAACCATTTAGGTTTTACATCTACAGTGTGGTATGAAGTCCTCTTGTATGCATTAATTGTGCAGTGACAAGTGTATAACCAGATTAAAAGTCTGTAACGTAAAGCTCTCTCTCTCTCTCCATTATCAACGATGACAACATTTCCCCCCCTGACTGCACATACCCCTTGTGAGACACATGACCAATTGTTCTCTAACAGCACAATGACATGAAGCCTGTAGCCCAACTGGTGCATGCATAGGCTGTCTTTATGTTCACTGCATGCTTGAATACAAAAGCATTCATTCAGTTATGATCTTGATGATCATAATTCATCATAATTGCATGTGTTAAAATATAGAAAATATATGATATGTAAACCAAAAACAACAGTTTTAGCAAATATAAAAAAATGTATGACGTTGAAATAAGTTGCGTTCACCTTGGTATAGCTACAGTACAGTACCTGGTGAGCTTATATTATTCTTGACATTTCTGAAGTTGTAATTTATACCTTTAGGAAGACATGTGATTAAAATTTCAGAACCGATTCCAAATCTCAGTACATAATGTCCCACATAAAAAAGAACACCCTGGAAGCAATGAGGCCTATTGCAGTGTGGAAGGACAGTTGGGCACAGTTTAGACCAAAAGGACAGTAAAATCTACTTCTAGGTTACAAGTAGCATTTTAGGGATCTGTATTTACTCAATGAAATTATCATAATGTTCATTTGAAACTATTATTTGAAACTTTTACTGAAAATACACACTGCAGCATCATTCTACCTCTCAGATTTTTGATACAGTGTATTCCTGAGAAAGGATCTGTTTACTAATAGATTTTTGGCTCCCTGCTATTTGGTAACACTCCCCAAGAAGGACACGTGTATGTCTGAAAAATTCGGAATGAAAAAAAAAAATACTGTAACACTCTTATTTTTCTGCTGTGGAGTGTGATGACCAGGACTTGACATTAGAACACACCCACCTACCAAATTCGGATAGTCATTCTTGTTAGCCGCTTTTGCGCGTGGCATTCATAGGGCTGCCCCTACAAGTCATTAGAAGGGTCACAGAAACAGAGGGCAAGGTGACAGTGCGATTCCAGTCTGCTCCCAAGGCATTAAAATGTTAGTCTTACTGGTAAAACAAGAGACTCATGTAGGCTGATGAAAAAAAAGGAACAAATAGACAAATATGCACATACTTTGGTGAGTGGCTAGTAACTTTGAAAAACCACAAGCCACAGTGGCTGGTGAGCAAAAAAAGTTAATGTCAAACCTTGGTGACAACATACAATTTTGAATAATAAAACATGAATGCATACCAAATAGTAACCTTTGTGGTTCACACAATGCACAATGTAGTGACTATGGCTAATCCAGAGTTACAGATTTTCCAACACTTGCAGACTGGTTAATTTAATGTGAGGCTGTCCAAATCCGCAATTCATAAAGTGTGCCTTTCCTGCAAACGTGCACAATCATAAAGCGAAAATAATCACAGTTAAGGGAAAGTTTTTCTGTGCATATCAAAATATATGTTAGCTAAACTATAGAGCAGCAGACCCAGCACTTTAAAAATAATTTAGAAGCACAACCCTGTAAGGGTTACAGGCTCAAGAACTCATACCAGTACAAAAAATCTTAATTTCTGTCATATGGAAGATTTTGTCCCCTCACAGCCCAGCAATGTGACGATGGCTGAACACGTCACGGTACATATGCCCAAACTTTGGGCGGTCCAGTCCACAAATCCCAAGGGTAGACATTTGGATTTAAACCTATTGAGCAAGCATTTCTATCCACCCAGAGAGCACCATTGCAATATAGCAATGGTATATACTCTTTTAGATTGATAGCCCTTGTTGAAAAGTGTAAAGTACAGCTGGCTAGTGAGTTAGGCAAAAGCTGTGACATCTGAAATCTACATGTCCAAAATGTGGGTCCACATAGTCTCATAAGCCAATTACCAATTAATACAGAGCAATTAAAATAAATAAAACAGCAACAAACAATGAACATTAATGATTACATGATGTATAATACGAGAGGACAAAAGAATGATAAGTACCAGCACAATCCAAATCTCAATATCTTCCCATCTACAGTGTTTTTTTGTATTAACACATCTGTCCAGTACACCCAATTATTAAAATAAAAAATACACAGCACAAGAGCCAAGATGGCTGCCTCTCACTCTGGGGGAAATAGCACCACTGCATAGGAGCTGCCGTTCATCCAATGATGCTAGTCTGACTAATGAGCTGTACACTATATAGCTCCTGTGCCTCTTCCTCACCAGGGGAAAATGGTGCTCTAAAATTGAATTGGACTGAATTATATGTGTATATATATATATATATATTGTCTCACTAGGTTGTATTAGCAGGTGACAGACCCAACCTATTTCAGTGTAAAATCGCTTCATTGTAGGAGTTTGACCACAGTGTTTAAATGAGACTTTACCTCACCAGAAAACTGCTAAAGTCTTTCAAATTGGGTCACTTTTGTGTATAATAAACTGAAAAGCCTCCACTGTAAAGGTTGAAAGCTATGGAGTCTGGATCTGTGGTTGGGAGGGCCTGTGTGGTTATGCCTGCTGCTACCATTGTTCCTGCCCGACACCCTTTGCTACAATTATTATTACTCGTACTATTATTATCATCATTAACATTACTATAATTATTAATACCATTATTTATTTTCATACTGTACCACTACTTCCTTTTACTGTCTGTATTTCTATGTAGATATTGTGTTGGTTGCTCCCCCCAACTTTATCAATAGGTAGGAAATCTTACAGTGGCGGTCATTCAGTATGGGACTGTGTCAGTCAAAGGGCAGATTTGGATCACAATGAAAACGCCACTGAAGCAAACATTTGCAGACAACATTATCGAGTTTTTGTCTTGTGTTTTGAGGTTGGGCTTCATCATCGAATCACTGAATTAATAAAATGTTTCGGCCCTCAGACTGTCATCAGGCAAAATATATATATATATAAGGACAAACAGATTGTCTGTTACATTGTTTTAAAGGGGCATTATGTAGATTTCAGCGGACACTATTGGTGCGGTTTTAAGATTGCAACCAGGTGTGTGCTCATCTGCCTGCTTGAACCAGGCTTGACCTCATGAGCGAGGATAATCCAAAACACAACCGCTTCATACAAAGATCCCACAATTAACCGGCATGCCGGCTCTGGCTTTTCTCACAGACATGTTCCGGCATTGCTATTACTAATGTTCCCGACTCAGAGGTAGATAAACACTGGCTCCATACCTTGCCTACAGCGCAGCGAGCCAGCATATTGGCACAATTCTTCCGGGAAAAAAAGGCTATATACAAACACACCGGGAGACAGTGTCACACAACTTGTTGGAAACTCAGGTAAACTCCCACTGCAACATTACAATAATAATTTTATCAGCTTGAGGTTGAACTAATCCATGCTGGATTCATTATAATGTTACATTTAATCCATTTAGCCGTCATGAAAAATCGGCGTTAGTTCGCCTGCTGCTTTTCAGTAACCAGCGTTATTTGTGTCTCTTCCACCGGAGCCTCAGCAATGTCAGCACAGCCAAAATGTATTGGAGGATAATGAAATGGTCAAGCTAGACTGAATTTTATAAATGATGAAAAAGATGTTTATAACAATGAGACTGCAGTAAGTAACGTTACTGTAGAGAATGGGTGGGTCTTCCACTGTGGTGTTGTCCTGTGCCGTTATGTTGCATTATTGTATATTATGTGGGTCACGTTAGTTACAGCGACTGAGATGGGGAAGAAGCTGTGTACCTGAGTATCGGTACAACAATAATAACTCTAAATTGAATGTTATGATGCAAACAGCGGTTGATCCATGCTAATGTAATGTTAGCTGGCTGCACTGCCTTTCATCAGTATAGGGTAGTCTAAACATCCACATTTGCTTTGTATGTTACACTTTGACATAATTCTGGTGGTACACAGAATAGTAATTTATATCACTATAGTGTATTGCACCGGATAACATTAGCAACTGGTCGGCATTAGCCAGCGAGCGAACAATCAGCCTTTCTGATGTTGACTGTTTTCACCCGACATCATTTTATTCTGGTTTGGCTTGACGGGCTTCAGCACATAAAACTTTATCTTTGTTTTTTATCCTTACATGGAGTTTATGTCAGAGTTTATTTGGCCGTTTGTGATGGAGTCTGTGTCCTGCTGGGAGCCGGTTGTTTTGTGGTGTAAGTGGACTGCATTTCGTTAGCTGTGGTGTAGTCCATGTACTCAGAGAGAAGCTTGGGAGTGTGCATGTAACTACATCCCATCCCGGAAAAAAAACAATACATTCTCATCAGACGTAAATCAAAGTTAGTGGATACAGTCCTGAATGATGAGGCAGCCATCTTTATCTTCACTCGAGGAAGTAAACAGACTTTCCTGGATCTCTGTGTGGGTAAAAAAAACTTAATCTGTACCTTATCCTGTCTTATTCTTGACCCCAGACTTCAGATGACGTTTCTAACCTCGAAGGTGTGGTGTTCCTTAGATAGTTCCAAGGAAAATAACAGACAATGTCATTTCAGATACACAAAATCAATGACATCTCGTTGTGGGCAGCACAGTTCAATTCAACATCTCTACGATAGTCCTAGGTCCAGTTTGTAGCACAGACAGACACACACACACAGCTGCCATTAGAGAGTGTTACAAAAAACAAGGGTTCTGGTAAAAGGTTACCAGAGGAAGAAGAAAGAGAAGAAGCGGAAGAAAAGGAGGAGGAGGAGGAAGAAAATGCAGAGTAGCGGCCAGGTGAGAAGTAGTAGTAGTAGTAGAAGTAGACAAACTTGTAGTAGCAGAATAAGTACTTGCAGAAGTTGGGAAGAGTCATCTTGGATTTTAGAGGGGTGGGGATCTCCTAAGATTTCTTAAAGAAAACATAACCGGGTAGATGTTGCAACATTTTTTCTTAATTATTTGTCATTAAAAACATTTTTTTATTTGTTGCATATAACATAATTCTTGTTAAATTTCCATGTTTAAATTCTCAATTTCTAGCCCTGTTATTCATGGGGGAAATCAGAATGGCTTGCAGAAGTCATGCAGAATATTCATGCTGGTAAACAATGTTAGAAAAATGCTTTTCTAATTTGCAATCGCTGCCATATTTTTGTCCCTAGAATAGTTTCTCAAAGATGTTCTCCAGTTTCTGCTGAATACATGCTTTCTTTAAAAAACCTCTTTCTTCTTGCCCAACATCCCCAGAGGTATAGAGCGTATGGTCTGCAGAATTTCCTTCCCCCCTCCCTCTTTTCCTCAGAGGAGGAGGGAGTTCCTCCTCATCCATCATGCCTTCTGAGAGAGCAGCTTGCTGCAGGAGATGCACATATTAGCAGCCAGTCCGGGAGGTTAAAAAGTAGCTTAAATGATTGTGATGACTTTGCATTGACATTGCTGGGTGAAAAATCTATGGTCTCTCTCCTCCATTTTTTTAATCCATCCGTTGTGTCTTTGACTGTCTTTTTTTCCGATTTAATTAGTTTCATTCATGCCATGCAGTTTTGCTAAAGAGGAGGGGCAGCAGGGATGCTGAGGTGCATGGTAGAAGGCGGTTAAGATACTGTAAAGACTTGAGAGGGAAAGAGAGGGTGAGAAAGAAAGGAAGAGGCTCAATCATATCTTCATGTTCAGTGACACCTTTTGTTAAGCAAATGTTAGGGCCAGTGTCCTGTCTTTGAGGGGGTCTGTTCACACCAACTGGTACATCCACCCATTTGTCTGTCTGGCTCTCTGACATTTGCTGATATCTCAGTATCTAAAATGATCAGTTGAATTTGAAGTCCCAGTCTGTCAACTGTCTCCCAGAATATTCAGGTGATATCAAATATACTTGTTTCAAATAATCATGTAATATGATGTCTGATGTTTTCTGATATGTATGAGTAGATTTCAGCCTGCTGTTAGATGTCCTGTAGCTCAGCAGAGATTAGCAGGGCAGCTCAGCCTGTGCAGCCCAGCGGCAACACTGAATCAGACTCTGCCGGAGCGGTTAGACATCACATTGGACCACCCCTCACCTTGCATAGTGCTTTGAAATAATGGAACAATGGAATCAATAGTTTTGAATGCAATTTGTTGAAATGAAACTTCTCGAAATAGTGGTCAGTAAAACAAAAACACATCTAAATTACAGTGTGGAAAAAGACGGCATTCCTTGTCGCACGGTTTCCAAATCCAAGTACGTCATAGGCCCTCTGGCTGCTACGCTGGGAGCATCCATGCTGTTGTTTGCTCTGAAAATCAGTTCAAAAGACGTGGAAATGTTTTCTTTCCCATCTTAAAATGGCTTACATTTGATCATAAGCATTATCTTCATTGGGATCGTCAGCGAGATTGCATATGAATGTGTCACACAGATGATGAAAATGTTCAGGTCAGAGTGTCAGTGACGCTGATGATTTCTACCTCTCATCTTCTTTTTTTCTCTTCCTCTCTGTCTCCCTCCCATTTTCTACAGTGAATCCCGTTGGGTGATGGAGGAGCAGCAGTGTAACGTTTTTTCCCTCTTCTTGTAGACATACTGGGATTTAGAAACTCAGCACTGAAAGGGAAAAAGAAAAGAGAATTTAGTGACCCTCAGACACCAGACCATGGCATTGAGTTTGATCTTGCCCTGATAAAGGCTGGTTAAAAAAGTTTCATAACGATTTTTTACGCGAGTGTACAACCCATAAAGGTTATTCAAAAACGAAGATATTTAATTTCAGATGCAGCATTTAATATTGCACATATGTCAGTGGAATGACACTGGTGGGTTCTTTGATTTCATTAGAATGGGATCTGCGCGGTCCTGGAGCCGGTTGCACCAGCTGTTCATAGGTTTAAACGTATACTAGATCTAACATGAGTGTTTACAAAGTGGAGTTTTGAATATAACTAAATTAAAATGAATTTGTACTAAGGTAGAGATTAGTTGATATTAAGTATAAACATTCAGTAACAGCGTTGAACTGCATTCAATAACTATCTTATTATAGCTAATATATGTGAGTTGAAACTTCTTTCTTTCTAAAATAATTTAAAATACATTTCACAAAACTAACACAATACACCTCAAATTACAAAAAATGATGATGCTAACATTTGACTAAATGAGTAAACAATCACTTAGGTGAGATTAACTGGATTTATCACACTCATTTTACATTATACAGTTTAGAAAACTACTATACTTCTAACTCTGAAACACATATTTCTCCATGTATGCAGATATTATTAAAACAAATATCACAATATATATATATATATTAGGTTGTATATATATATATACACACACACACACACATATATATATATATATATATTTTATAAGATATATCTTTTGTGCTCCTACAACTATAATTTTAAGCTACCTAGTGATGCTACAGTGACTTCCTGTTTACATACAGTTGATTGCTTGTGATTGGACAGCACTATAGATGTTTTCTAGCAACTGATTTACACATTACTAAAGTCTTTACTAGTTAAGACATTTCTTAAGTTTTAATGGTGCAGCCTGATTTAAGGACTTGGGAAGGACTTAACATTCAAACTTTGTAATGAATTTATGAATAGTTGGTGCAACCCAATATTGATCTGCTTTTGGCCAATGAAATGTTTCTATCAGGGATTCACATCTTACATTTAACAGAGGACCGATTTACTTATAGAACTATGAAAAGCCACCCATCAGGAGAATTAAGGATTTTTTTTAACCAAAACTGAAAATAATTTTATCAAAAAATTTAAATTTCAGCTGTCATCCAGTTATTTTTATTTCCATTTCATCTGCTAAAAATGATTTGATATCTTTCTGTGGAACCACATTAGATATGGGCCTGTTTCCCAAGAGTCAAAGTTCTTGTTCCTGTGAAAAAGTTTTTGGCAGGTGTGGAAAAATAACAATTATACGTGCCTAAAACTCTTGCATAGTACTGTATATCTCACATTTTGGCCGTTTATGCATTAGAGCTTTCCACCACGTGTTGAAGCAAGTGGAGTTGTGATGGAGTTGCAATCACGTGATCTCACGTGAACTGCCATCAAGTACTAAATACATTTATTTAAGAACTGTACAATTATGCTTCTAAATGACTACATTTCAGAGGGAAATATTTTACTTTGTACTCAACTAAATTTCTTAGTTACTCTACAATTTTCGTAAGACCTACATGATTTTTATGAAGTTTATAACATGTATTGTTAAGGTTTAAAATAGTGAATCCCAACCTTCTGGGCTTGTGGCACTTTCCAAAAAAGTTGTATCTATTTGGGGCACCATGTCAGATGTTTCAGATATCTAAACGTTGTTAGAGGTTAGAGATAACCCTTAAAATTGCAAAAGTAATTGTTCAAGGCTGAACTATATCACAATAAAACAGCAAAAGAAAAAGAAAAGTTGGGCTACACTTCCTAAATACCTCCACTTTGATCAGCTTCAACAATAAAATGCCATTTACACTTCGATGCATTTGTAATAAAATCTATTACTGTCAGTCAAAGGCCATTTTTCTGCAGAACATATACTTTGACTTTTCTGATGCAGGACCTTTAAATGTACGGAGTATTTTTACATTGTTGTATTAATACTTAAGGAAAATATTTAATTTAAGTTCTTTTTCCAATAAGGGGTAAGGGTCACTGAGGGGTGATGATGACTGAGCAAACTCCATTTGCTGATAAAGACAGTGAAATGTGGTAGAAAGCTCCATATCTAGCTAATAACTGAATGTTGATTTGAAATTGAGACTTTTTTTGTATGAATGTATTTCTATGTCAAAGTCATGGCATATGAGACACAAAGCATAGGGCTGTAATTGCAGCCACTGGCTACTGACCATATGCATTTCAGCAACAAGTGCTCCAATGGCGTTATTTTGTCTTTTAACTTCTTGTCAACACAGGAAGTGGGAATGTGTCAAATGTGTGAGTTACAGTGGAGACTCATCTGGTTAGTAACACACTGTCCAGTTTTCCATGGCATGGTTTATTATTGCTAAGCTATTTATTCAAAATTATACTATCAATAAAATATATATCAACTTTGAGAAATGTTTAGTTGGCTCTGTGAACCGATCAAGACTGCAGCTTTTAACTTTTATTCACTATAACCAGCAATAGCAACTGGAAGTTAAAAGACAAATCCAGAAATAGAACAGATGAATAAATGGGCTGGCTGCATAAGGTCAATATTACTACACGGAATACTGACAGCTGGTGTGTCTATTGCTTAATCCAAAAGATGCTGTTGCCAAAGAGGCTGTGGGAGTTCCTTTCATGTTATTATCAAGATTGATAGTTAGCCGTTGTTGAAATCCTTGTTTCTTTATACCGCTGCATAACTTTCCAAACATTAGGTTGGAAAGTTATACTGGCTCAGGTTGGAACAAGAATGCATCAAAGACTTCTACAATGGCAGGCAGAGTGGGCCTAATCTAATCTGTAGTTTCCAGCGGTGGTCAGTATGAAATAGTAATGTACTCATGTAAACTGCAGCAACATAATACTGTACATTGAGGCAAGGAAATGATAGGCCAAACACAGTACTGAAGCAGCCAGCCACAAGAAGTGCATGCAAGTTCACTTATAACATGGGGCTTGAATGTGACACCCACATTTCTGTCTCTGTAACTCACATGTACAGATACAATCTGCAGAAGTCCTCTGATATAAATGTATGCTAATTAAGAAGCTGATGAAACCAAGACACATCAAAGCCACAAACTTAATGAAATCAAAAGTTCAAACCAGAGGACTCCGGCCAACCAGGATTGGGCCAAAATCCAGACAAATAGATGAGAATGGAAAAAATCTCAATTGGTGTGTTCTGCACATAAACAGACCAGACCTTGGCCAAATAAATACTATTTTTAGTTTTTGTTTAATTCCACTTTAACCATCAGAGCGGCATGGTTTGCTGAATCAGGTCAGTTCATTTCTAATTAGTTTCACTTTGGTGCATTTTGTGTTCGTCCGAATGAAAGACTACAATTCTTCTGCACCTGTGTGGGATAAAACAAGCTGTGCGGTAGTGTTTGTGAAGGCAGTTTGACCCAGGTGTGGTACACACAAAGGCTACCTGAAAAATAAAGGTAATAGAGTGCAGCACACAACGACAAAACACGCAGAGCATAAACCAACACAGAACACACAGGTGAGGAAACACAACAGAGATACACATTCTTACATGGAGAAGCGGTGTTGCTTCTTTCTTTCTTTTCCTCCTCCTCCTCATCATCACCACACCTTTCTGTCTTCCCCAAACTTTTCCTCCTCCATCTCCTCCCTTTGATGCTGCTCGGCTGATAATCCACTCAGAACACATAATCTCATAGCACGTTTCCCCTTCCTCCCCATCTACAATATATGACTGCAGTCTTTTTCATTCATTTAATGTCCATTCCTGTCTTCCTCCTTGGTGAAATCCAGTGTTTGGTGAATCATTTCACTCAGTTGTTTTATTGTTTTTTTGCTGTAAGAGACTTCATGGTGGGGGTATGGATAGTGTGTTAAGGGAAAAACTCTCACAGACAAGGGGATGACACTGGGAGAAGACAGGAAGAACATTTGGACAAGGAAAGCAAAATAGCATTTTTTATAGAAGAGCCACAAAACAGAGCACATGGCATTCCAGGCATAGAAAAGAGAGGAGTGAGAATATTTTTTTTCTTATCTCTCTTTTTCATACATACAGTACATCTTCAAGGAAACATGACTGGATAGGAACACAAGGGGTCCAACAATTTGAGAAAGAGATACCTGAGTTGTGAATGGATGGAAAGGATAAAAACATTGGCAACAACAGACAGAAAATAAATAGCCAGCAGTAATTTGGATTAAAAACGTTTAACTTTTGAAGGGTGCCTCTGCAGTGTGGTTTCTCACTAGGTAGTCTTCAAAGATATTTTGAACAAAAACACCCTGAGATATATCCAGATCCAGTTCTAACTATGAAGCGTTCAACTGGTCTGAGGCTCATGCAGGAGGCAAGAGGTGCCATCTCACATTAATTTGAAAGTTTTACATTTTTGCTCGTCCTGTCAAATCAATCTGCCTTTGACAGCATACCTAACAGCCAAGTGGTTTATACCTGACATGTTTCAACAGGAATTACATGCACTATGGAAGTAATGATACCACTTTAAAGTGCCTTTTAGTTTCTCTGGCATTTTGACCCAAATTTGCAGTTAATACTGTAATGGCCCAAGTATATGACAAAACATTACATTTAAAAGTGGGGACCACATTATATTCAAGGCTGGATTCAGGGTGGGTTTGCTCAAAAGGGGCCCACAGCTCAGTTTTGGCTGCGTTCCCCTTGCAGGTTATGCTGCGTTCCATTTACCTCTGAAGTCGGAGGTCAGAGCTGGGAATGACGTCATACCTGAGTTGACGGTGTTCCAGTTAACAAGTCGGAAAACCTCGCTCAGCCAGCCATTGATTACAACTAGCCAGGTTAGCTATTGATACGCCGGCTGATTAAAAAAAACGCACTGTGCGGTATTTACTCATACTAAACACTGTAGCAACACGTCCACAGACAGCAGCTGGACAGCACTTTCT